TCTTGCAGCGCGGGGGCTGCACCCACGCGCCCGGCCACCCGGGGGCCCCGTCAGGATTAGCTGCTGCAGAGGGAGCTGCGGTCTTTTCCCAGGGGTATCTGATACCTCCCAGACCCAAATCTGATGGCAGGGTGTGAATGGGAGCCCTGGTTTTTCAAGGCCTCCAGGCTTAGCTCTGCTCCCTTCCCTCTCCCCTGCCCATCAGCAACCACATCCTGGGTGTGCAGCCACTGCGATGGCTTGGGGGCACATGTCCGAGAGGGGCGTTAACCAGGGAAAAGCATCCATGAGCCAAAGCCAAGCTTATAGCAGACCTCGGTACTTACTGAGGATGAAGATGTGCTGGAGACTCTGGAAATGGGAGGTCTCGTATTCATTCTGCTTCTTTTTTGCCAGTTCCTGCGTGACCATGCATCTGTCACAGAGACCCGCTCGCAGCCTGGGTGAAGAGCCAGGAGCTGGGTTACCCGAGACCTGGCAGGGGGACATCGATGCTGCCCTTGCCACGGCACGCGCACCCACCCCATGCCCAGCCACGGTGGAAGGAGCCGGCGCCATCCGCGCAGCCCAGCCCCTGCCCCTCTACCTCCCCCCATCCAAGCCCATCACCGCTCATTTTCAGAAAACACCTTTGCATTTGCTGAGGTGCCTCTGCTGCAGGAGCTGGCTCCCCCAGCCACGCGTGATGAGGAAAGACCTTCACGTGCTGCAGCCTGCCTGGTACAACACTGAAAAGCAAGCTCTCCCTGCAGGAGGGTGCACTCACTGCCACAAAACAGTGCTTTGTTCAAAAATAGATCTTACCTGTTTTCTAACACTTTTACATTTTCCTTAAGGACCTTCTGTTGTTCCCTTAATTGGTGATTTTTTGCAAACAGCTCTTCAATTTGCCGGGCATCACTAATACAGGAGACAGAAGAGAACAAGCAAACAAAAAGGGTTATTGGATTTCTCCCAGAGCCTGTGGCTTTATTCTCGGGGCGCTGGCAATGGGAAGGATTGCACCTGCGAGTCCGCTGTGCTGCTTGCACTGGATGAATAAAAGTGCTTTTGCTGGGTGCCGGGGTGCATGGGTGCTGGGGTGCACGGGGCCTGGGTGCCTGCTAGCAGGCAAGGAGAGGTGTAAGGAAAGTCCTGCTCAGCCCTGGGAGCAATGCAGGGGAGGAAGAGGAGGAGGAGGAGGAAGAGGCGAGGCACAGGCACTGAGGAGGCGCTCGAGGGGCTGGTGGGATTTTGGCTGCTCAACGTCACTCCTCTTCCCTTGCTCTACAAATCGCCAAACTGTCTTAGGGGAAACGTCACCTCCAAGCCCTGCCTGTGTCCGAGGCCCTGCCTCGCGCAGGTCACCAAAAGGTTTAAGTGTGGCAATGCCCAAGCAAAGGCGAGCAATGCTCTCTACATCAGGCATCCTCTCTCAGGACCTGTGGCTTTCGCGGGCGCCTAGAGGCACAGCAGCCTCCGAGAAGCTTCTGGGGAGGCCTTAAAATTAAGCAGTGCAACCTCTCGTCCACCCCCACAGGCCTTTAACACTGCGGCGCGGACGGAGAGCAGGGTCTGCGTTGCTCACCGGCACTTCTCCGTCGTCAGCTCCATTAGCTTTGTTTGCAGACCTGGAATAATTAACAGAGCCTGAGAGATGGGTATTTATTGCATGTTCCAAGGCAGTTTGGAAACAAAATGCAAAAACCTAACTTTAGCAGGGTGCTTCGTTTTAAAGAGGCATCATCAGCTTACAAACCTTATTCCTGGGCAGGAAGCTCGTTTGCCTGTGTTAAATGACAGCAGCTTAACATAACTGGAAAACTTGTACAAAATGTGAAGACATTCTGTATTTTCGTGATTTTAATGAGTTTGCATCCCACCCCCCCCCCCCCCCCCCCCCCACCCCCCCCCCGTTTTGCTTCTAGTTATTTCTGGTTACACCACTCATTTCCCAGGTGGGCAGTATTTTATAATTCTTGGGGCTGCAAAGCATCCTGGAGGATATTTACAGCTCGACAGGAACTGTGTTCGTTGATGGATCTACAGACATTACATTCTGTCAAATCCCTTTTATGCAAAATAGCTGCAAGCGTGTGGTTTAAATTGCTTGGCGGTTTCCTCTGTACTCTCACGCGGCCTAAAATGGCACAAGACAAGAACGAATTCACAAGCCAGAATCCTGTGCGAGCACTCTCGGTGTGTTCGTAATATTGATACTGGGAATTATTCTAGTAGGAAAACAACTGGATTTGGCATTTGTTTGCTTAACCTACCGGTTCTTATTTTGGTAACGCACGACTCGGCAGCTCCCTAGAGGCCTGAGCTATCTATCCTTATCCTAAGGTTGTCTTTAGCAGAGCCCTGTAGCCCTGCTACTTGCGTCTGGCAGATTATTGCATCTTTCCCCTTCCCCTTTGCAAGAGGCCGGAGCTATGTATCCTTATCCTAAGGTTGTCTTTAGCAGAGCCCTGTAGCCCTGCTACTTGCGTCTGGCAGATTATTGCATCTTTCCCCTTCCCCTTTGATCATTCGGTGTCCAAGGAAGAGTGCAGCTGGGCTCGCTCTTGGGCAAGCCGGGGCGTCGCAGGTGCCGCCGGGCTCCCC